CCATTTCAGACAATAATGGCTGCTGATACGGTGCTTCTCTGCCGTTCAATTCAACAGGACAAAGAAGCGTGTCTTGATATCCGTGCCAGGAGATATTTTGTAATTACCAGGGAGAGCGCTCTCGTCTGAGTCAGCTGCTTCTGTAGCGTAGCCGAGGCTTCAGCGCTGTGTGTGGTGAGATGCTGCCTGTCAGCTCTGTGCTCCTGCAGTGCATTTTCATTTCCATCACTTTTGAGTTGGGAAAAATATCGAACTGTCAATATATCAAAATGGAGATCATAGTAAATATATTTTTGAATGTTTTTAAAAGTCTTCTGCCCAACAGGCTGCATGCAATACAGTAAAAATAGTAATATTGTAAAATATTATTGCAATTTAAAATAACTGTTCTCTTTTAAAATGTTTTTAGAATTGTAAAATTATATATATATATATATATATATATATATCTTTTCTAAATGTAGTTTGAATGAACGTTGCCAGTTTTGCCATGTCAAACAAGAAAAACTGGCAATTATTTAGAATGCCAGGTTTATATATAAAACTGGCAATATATATATATATATATATATATATATATATATATATATATATATATATATATATATAATTTCTTTAATCAAAATATGTCAAACTAAATGTCTTGTTATTGCTTCATAATTTAACAGGTTTTCATGGTCCCACTTAACTGTCACCGTCCCACAGGTGGGACGTTTGCCACTATATTTTTAAAACAATAATATCTTAGTAAATACCTTAAATAATATTGACAAACTATATATCATTTGAAAGCTTACAATCTCTAGTTTCCATATTTGGTGACTGATTTTCAAAATATATTACAGAGGAGCCATAATTTATCAATATAAAACAAGAATATTTTCATACTCATAAGGCGTGTTCAGACCTTTATTTTTAAAATAGCAGTAAACATGAAAAATCATGAAAAAATGGTAGATACCTCAGTTTGTTTTCATGCCAAAAGTTCAAAAGATAGAATCCATTCAATTATTTTGGAAAAAAAGGTCTGAAAAGTTTGAAATATCAAGAAAAAATAATAAATTCACCATTTGTGACGTGGCAGCTAGCTATGACTTACATGCGTGTTCTTTGTATGTTCAATTCATATCAAAATCTGCCAAACTTCCCATGCTACTTCTAAATAGGATCTTTACTTCAGAAATTGTATGAAAATTGTGAAAATAATGGTTCAGATCACTCAAAACAGGAATAGAAATACAGGCGCCCTTATATGGGCAGTAATGGAGTCTGATTGTGCCCTAGTGAAAAAGTTTGGTACTGCGCTCAAACAAAATCTTACTGAGGGCTCATTTTTTGAGATATCAACCTAAAATTTGAAACACAACTTGTTCAGATTTTTAGCTTTGATCTTTCTGCCATTTTAGAGTAGCCCAGGTTTTGAAAATATATATTTTATGTAAAATATGAATAATTAATATTTTTACATTGTACATTTCCATAAACTCAAACTTCTATAACTTTTTTTCTGTTTCACTTTCTTAATTTATTTCACTTCTACAAAAATCTGCCAAATGTCTTCTTTAAAACAAGACCAATCATATGTCTATATTCCAAAAGCATTCTTGAATTTAAGTTCGAAATGTGCATTTTCATGTCTATTCAAAAAAGGGGGGGTGACAGTTAACAGGTTAATATCACCTTCCATCCTGTATATAGTAATATTTCTTTAACAAACAAAACCTCTGATCTTAATGACATGTTCCTCCAGGAAATCAAATTTCTTCTAAGTATGAGCTAAAGAAATCTGAAAAGGTATGTTACGTAGGGTTAATGCAGTTGTAATCAAAATTATTCATATAAAATGTTTCCCCAATTTCAACTGAAATTAAAATGCAACTTTTAATGATGTCTGCAGTTTTAAAAATACATAGAATCCCTCACAACACCATAAATATGCAAAACTGGTGTCGAGGGATCAAGGGCTTCATTATTTGCACCAGGTTTGCTTGAGCTAGAACACATTACATATCTGAACTGGCTAGGTTTGTTGAGTGTCACATTTCGCTGTATGTTAGACATAAAAGTCAAAAGAATGGCCCAAAAAGTTAAAAGAAGACCTGGAAGATTCTACAGTGGCGATCACAGTCACCTGATTTGAACCCAATAGAACATTTCTGGAGGGATTTGAAGAAGGCGGTTGAAGCACGCAAACCTTTTTGAACTTTTGAACCTACTGAACTGGAGGTCATTGCTAATGATGAATGGGCTAAGATTCCCCAGAAATGCTGCCAGAAGCCGGTGTCTGGTGGTTATACATCTTGTTTTCAGCACGTCATAACAGCATTTTCATTCATTTTCACAAACTGTCAAAGAAGAGTCAAATTGATTGTCTATATTGATGTCCACAGATCAGTTAAAATGAAAATAATCCATAATATATCTTAATTGTGCAACACTTTCCCCGAGCACTTCCGTAATAAACGAAAATAAAGACAAGAAGCATCGACATGTTTATATAAAAATGATTTTTAATGGTGTATTTGACGATCCATTGTTGAAATGATGAGAAAAAATACCCAGAGCAGATGAATCGGATGTGATGAATAAATGAACCCACGAGCAGAGCTCAAGGATTCGCTAGTGCTGCTCTCGCACTCAACAAACACACATTCTTTCAAAAAGTGTTTGAGTCACTTTGCTAGACTCACATAAGGTCAGACACATACTCTACAGTAGTAGGTGAAGGCAAATGCATCTAGCTTAATTTTAAATACTGCTGTGTCGTTAAAATTCATTCAAATGTGTGGCATTCTCAGAATTACCACAAGAGGCGCTATAGTCAAGTCATCCTCATTTATATAGCGCTATTAACATTAACAATGTAGATTGTTTCAAAGCAGCTTTAAATAGATAAACTTAATATAATTTAAGGTAACAGAGATTGATACTTTCTCATTGTTACTTACTTTCTTACTTACTTACTAAAGTAAGATTGTTACTTACTTTCTATAGCATAAACTGTTAGTCCGTTTTCTTTTTCAGGTCAACTACCGTCAATGGCTGAGCAATAGTTTGAAGGGAATCTAGCTGAGCAAGCAAATAAAAATTAAGCCATCAACAGTAGCTAGTTACCTATCAGTTTTAGGCCCCGTTTACACGAAGGGAAAACGCAGATATTTCCCTGCGGATTGGCCGTTCTCGTTTACACGAAAACCTTGTTTTTATCACAGAAAACGGTTATTTCTAAAAACTCCGGCCAAAGTGGAGATTTCTGAAAACGGCGGTTATGTGTTGTCGTGTGAACTGGGAGAAACGGCGTTTTTTTTAGGTTCTCTCTTGTCGATTCTGAGGATTCTGATTGGCTTGCATGGCTTTATCCTTAACCCCTACACTGCCGCCAATAGGTTTGGCATAGTTATGATGGCGCTCGATGGCGTATTTATGTGGGTGTGTGAACGATGTTATTTTTGAAAACGGAGAGGGGGAAAATATTCGTTTTGCTAAATACCCGGCTTTGTGTAAACGTGGCCTTAATGGCACAGATATTTAAAGGTGACTTTGTTGCCCCAAGCTTGGAGTTTTGAGGTTTGTTACTGCCACTGTAGAGTATGTTTCTGACCTAATACTTGACAGTGATCAATTTTAAAGCACAACAATTCTCTACTCTGATTAGCTGTGTGTCATTGTTGAATTAAGACTTAGAAACATTTGGTCACCAAACTATTTTGCAATGAGACCAACATTTACTACAACCCACAGAGGATTTCCATTAAGAGAGCATATCAGCATTACATCAAGATATTAATAAAGGGCTTCATCATTCATGAGTTATGCAGATCGTTCATGATAAGACGTTTGTTCCTGTATAACACAACAACACTCTATGTTTGGTTAAATATGCAGTAGGTGAAGAGTAGTCTGTCTTTATGGTTACTGAGAAAATAAATTCCCATTGCAGAGCAGTAAGTAAAGTAAGATGTCCCTCATAACACCTTAAGAGTCAGTTAAAGGGTTAGTTCACCCAAAAATGAAAATTAAGTCATTAATTACTCACCCCCATGCTGTACCAACCCCGTAAGACCTTCGTTCGTCTTCGGAACACAAATGAAGATATTTTTGATTAAATTTGAGAGCTGTACAACTACCACATTGGCTCCTAAGGGACTGCCTCTTGACGGCCCAAAAAGTCAATGAAGAAAATGTTTAAATATCCCAAGTGACTACCGTGGCTTAACTATATGTTTATCAAGCGACGCGAATACTTTTTGTGCGAAAAAACAAACAAAAATAACGAGTTTATTCGACTATTTTTTTCTTCCTTGTAGGCCAGAACGAGACTTCCTTATAGATTTCCACGACGCATGCGCGAGAATTGCGATCTGAAGTAATGTAAGCTGGTGTACGCAGATCGCAAATCTCGCGCATGCGTCGTGGAAATCTATAAGGAAGTCTCGTTTCTGGCCTACAAGGAAGAAAAAAATAGTCGAATAAACTCGTTATTTTTGTTTGTTTTTTCGCACAAAAAGTATTCTCGTCGCTTGATAAACATATAGTTGAGCCACGGTAGTCACTTGGGATATTTAAACATTTTCTTCATTGACTTTTTGGGCCGTCAAGAGGCAGTCCCTTAGGAGCCAATGTGGTAGTTATACAGCTCTCAAATTTAATCAAAAATATCTTCATTTGTGTTCCGAAGACGAACGAAGGTCTTACGGGGTTGGTACAGCATGGGGGTGAGTAATTAATGACTTAATTTTCATTTTTGGGTGAACTAACCCTTTAAACAGGAAGGACACATTTCCAGTGGGGTAATTCATCTTGATACCTTATTCGCATACTGTTTACTGATGTTGTTGTGTGTAGTCATCAACTTAAAGGGACAATACGCCCTGAGAAATGACAATACTTTCACTATTTACTCACTCGGGTCATTTCAAAACTGTATGACTTTCTTTCCTCAGCGGAATTTCAAAGAAGAGGGTTTGCAGGATGTTCATGTTGCTCTTTTATATACAATGAAAGGCAATGAGAAATGGAGCCGTCAAGCTCCAAAAGTATAAAAAAAAACTGTCAAAGTGACTTGCAAAACACTTGAATACTTTAAATATAGTGCACAAGTCTGTATGACTTTATACATTTCTGGAAATTTTTAGTCATTTCTCCCCACTTACATTCATTAGTATAGAAAAGAGTAGCTTGAGCATTCTGCAAACAGCTCGTTTTTGGGTCATACAGAGATACATATTTCTCAGGGTGAACTATTCCTTTAACAACAAACAACTCAAAGTTAACACATATATGCATAAGGAGAGACATGTTACATCATTCCTCTCTCCTTACTGGCTATAGTTTCAGTCCCTGAGGACCATGGCAAGAGATTGGTCATGAAACACAAACTTGCATACATTCGAAAACAAAAAAGTAACACCAAACATGCTTGCATACTCAAAACAGTCATCCTCAATAGAATGCTTAAAATCTCAAACACACACAGTCATCCTCCATCTACCCGCATACTAAATAATGAGTAGTCTCTGGGAATTGGGAATGGTGGTGACATTTATAAAGGCTGCGCTTGCTGCTTCTTCCTTCTGCTTGCGTTTCACGAGCTCTCTCTTTCACATACACATACACACAAACTCTACGACGCTCCTGTTATTGTTGACTGACATACAGGCGCCATTATCGAGTCAATCGCATTTAGAGAGCACGACTTTGCTTGGAAACGCAGAGCCTATCCTTACTAAGGGTAAAATAAGACACAGTTTCCTCTTTGGATCTCCACCAGTTTCGCAACTCGGCTACCAAGAAATGGCCTGGATTGGGTGCTGATGACAACCTAGAACCTAGACATCTGTCTGATCGGACAAACATTCCTCTCACATTCGGCAAGGTTATATTAGTACACTTAGCTCGCAGGGATTTTCTCGTACAGTATGCTGAAAGCTTAAATAATGGCTACGGTCCACATGTTGTCTGTCCGTCCAACGAAATTTGCAGCCGACGTGCAAATACACACAAAAAAGGACAATAGAACAGACCTCTTCAAGTCATCTCTGATTATGAAAAGCTAATAAATTGCATCCAATAAGTGTTAGGCAGCTCTGTTGGTCTCAGTGCTGTGAGTTTTACCTCTTTGAGGGACGAAAAAATCCCTTTTTCAATGAAATCAGACCATAACAAACTAAAAAAATAAAGAGACAGACCGTTACCGTCACAAGTTCATGGCTGAAATGGCAGCAGACATTTAAGCAAATACCTCTATACAATTTCATTCGGTTCATTATTTTAAAATCTGCAGTGAATATAATTTCGATAATTTTTATGTTTTCTTTCCTTCTGTGGGCGATTGCGCCTGTAGAAGTCTTCACCTCTTAGTTTTAAGTCTCAGTGCTTTAAGTTAGTCAGTCACATTTCTGACCTGGCACGCAAAGTCTTCGCGCCACCAATTGTCCTGCATTTGGAGTCCTCCCACTCCGAGACGACCGAAGGATATCCTGGAGCACAACAGAAGGGGGGAGGGCCGTATTTGATGGTGGCTCTAAAGTTCGGTCCCTTTCTCGTTTGCCATCTTTCTCTCCCGCTTGATTGGACCTGGGGATCACATTCTTTTCCTCCTCGTCAACCTGTATTTTCCATCCCCCTCCCCCCAGCACTGCTACCAGCGGTTGATGATGTGATTCATGTAGTCCTCTGTGGGCAATCGGGACCCTTCAGACTCCGGCGCGTCATCCCTGAAATTAGGATCAGAGCTGGGCGTCCGACGAAAGGGAAAGAGGGCGGGCTGGTTCTTTAGGCGTTGCTCTCTTCGCTCCAGTTGTCGCTTGTACATGTAGCGCTGCTGAAAAAGATCCCTGGCGTAGTCATACAACTGCATGTCCAGGTCGTTCAGCTCCTCGATCCGCTGCACCGTGTCGTTGTCCAGGTCCACGCCAGCGGCCCGCGTGCTGTTGTACTGCATGAAGGGCCGGATGAACTTGAGGTGGAAGGTCCGTTCGAACAAGTACTGCGTTTTGCGCTGGTACTCAGTCAAGCCGAAGAAGGCCATGTCTCGCAGGTTCTTCTTGGCCGACTCGAGTAGCACCTGCGCACGCTTCTTCTCCGGGATGAAAGACATGTTGTAGCAGCCCACCAGGCTGAGGTCGGCTAGCATGCGGACCTGTCGGTTATTCGCCAGGTTGTACGGACAGTCCATGAACTGCTGTAGCGTGCAGCCCGACCAATCGGTGCCCTCGTAGCAGGGGGGCAGCTCCTCCGGCGTGGGGGTTCGTCCGTCACACATGTGTAGGGAGGTTTTCCACGTGGCCCCGCGCTGGACGTGTCGCCATTCGCTCAGGTAGCGAGACACGGGGTCTCGTAACAGGGTGATGTAGTAGAACTTCCTGTAGGATGAGAATGGAGGGAGAAATGATTAGGACACAAGCAAATTGAAAAATACCTGAATCAAAATAAACTAAGTGCACACCTCAGATTTCACTTGGGTCTACAAATATATATATATTTGTCATTTAAAATTTTCGGTAAAAAAAAAAATCTCCACCTATGCCGTTCCTCCGATTTACATAATATTTTGTATTCATCCACTAGAGAACCTCACAACAAAAAAGTTTTCAAAATTTGATTCGTCAAGTCATTTCAAACATATTTTTGGGTGTGGTCTACAAGAACTAATTGAACTATATCTTTTGAACGGAAAGTCTAAACTTAACAAAACTTAAGAAGACAATATACCCATGTAGAACGGCTAGCATGTCCTAACATGAACTTCCCCTACCCTGGCATTTTTTCGAGAAGCCGTTAAACTTGGATGATTGCTTTTTTTTCACAATTTCTGTTTCATGCAGACTGATGCCCAGAAGTCATGAAACAAATCGGTACATGCCTGCAGGTCGTCTATACCAGTGGTTCTCAAACCTGTCCTGGAGGACCCCCAACACTGCATGTTTTCCCCATGTGATAAGGAGCTGATGAGTCGAATCAGGTCTGTTTGATAAGGGAGACTGTTGGGGGTCCTCCAGGACAGGTTTGAGAACCACTAGTCTATACAATGCAGACTATCAAATTTTGTGAGAATTGACCACAAGATGGCACTGTAATAAATATGTTAATGTTTCTGATTATATGCCAGAATTGTACCTTATAACTCAAGAACTTCCTGAAAAAGGCAGTTTTTGGGAAACAACTACTAACTACAAAACAATTGCTGCCGAAAATTGCTGCAGGCAATGTTCCAGTTATTTAAATATTTTGGTAACAATTGACTTAAATGTATTTTTCGGGGAATATTTTTCTTGACCTCAACTGCAGTGGTACAAATTGAATTTGTCATTAAAATGACAGCCAATGTCAAAACCAACCACCTGACAGTTTAATGTTATGTTAACCCATAAAGCTACGGGGTTTCTTAAGTTTGATAATTAATCTGCTATGTCATGTTTATGACAATTTATGTTGTCTTGGTAATGTCAAGTTGTCATTACCAAGTCACTGACAGGTTATGATGTACTGGTTTATGTCAAGTTGTCTTAAAGACATCCATCTCAAACAATGTCATATTTGGATAAAAAATGTAATAATTAAGCGAATGACACTTAATGACAGTTGTCTTAAACATGCATAAAACCTTCATATTCATGACATGTGTCATGTCATGATAATGAAGATGTCATGTCAGTCTTATGCACACCCCTTCAAGTGAAGTGTTACCAATATTTGTTACTCATCAAGTGCTTAAAAAAACTACTAGTCAATTTGTTTAGGCAGACCACCAACTAGTCAACTTTGAAAATCCCTAAAACTAAAATATTTCGATTTAACAGATGGGATGGAATACTCTGACATTTTCTGCACATTACATTTTTTATTGGGTTTTATTGACTTTTTTTTTTCTCAAACTGGAACTACATTATTCACAGCATAGATATCTGTATTGCAGTAAAGGACCAACAGCAGCCACAAATTTTACTGGTAGGTAAGAATTATAATTCCTCTCGCCTCCAGCATAAAAATAATTTCGCCGCGTGTGAACACAACCAGTCGTAAAGGGGAATTGAACTGTAGAGCTCTCGATATGCTTCAATGAGACTTCATAATGCATATGAAAAAGAGCATAACTTGTCCCACAACACCTCTCTTCCATTCTAAACTTGCACTCCAACACCAAATTAGTGAATTCTTGGATGCGTCCCTCTTGTGCACTTGAGCCTACGTGGTGCAGAATGAATCAGACATTAGTGTAGTGAACGGCGGAGACTTATTTATTTTAACATCTCTAGTAAAGATGCATGAATTTATTCATCCGTTAAAGACAGGGCTGGAGACGGCAACAAGTCAACTATGACCCTGAGGGTAAATAAACCGACAATTTGCCACATTCTCTCTTTTAATCAGTATATTCAACATGTTTTCTAGTAAAAACATCTTTACATCCTAAAAATAACATATATTTACTTACGAAAAAAAAAAAAAAACATTCTGTGTTAAAATCAAGCTGAGTATTATGTACAGTGATGACCCAGTGGGTAAACGCAAAGAAAAGGAAACTGAAAAAACACTCTCTCAAATACAAACCATGAGGTAACAAATATTTAACTAAGAAAATTACCATAAGATACTGAAATAATACTTAAATAAAACATTTGCACAGTGTTGACCCTTAGGTTTTTAATTTAGAAAAACTCTCTCACTCAAATCCCTTTTCTTTCTCTTTGTATGTTTCGATAAAAACATGCTTAAAGAAAGAAATATTTACCAGAGAAGCAAAACTGCCATAGGATGTCAAAAGAATATTCTAAGCTATCAGTTAGTATTACTATTCATATGGCAATTCAGTTGCTGCATGACATCTAGCAAATCGTCTACTATATTTAATAAAATGTAACATTTAAACATATCAGCAACTTTTGAATGTGTGTCAGTTGTCAGTGGCGAATGATACATTTTCACTGCAAAATGGAGGCTAAAGGGCTATGCCTAACAAGCAAATTTTGACTCCTAGGTACTGTACATTTTTTTTTGTCTTTTCTTTTTTTTGTCAGCATTTTTGTCAGAGTAAAATCTTCACATTTACAATATAAACACATTCTCTCACTACAGTCTGGCACTTATGACTTGCACCCACACGCAATGACACACATACACACAGTTCAAATTCTGCTAAAACATTCAGTGTATATTCTCTCACACAGAGTTCAATATTCTACAGTGTGTCGAAGCCTGTGTTAAACACCTCCATCACACTCAATCTCACTATTTCTTTGTGAACATCACTCTATTCTTATTCTGTTATCTTTCCGTTCTCCCTGTCTGTTCATACATACGTCCGTCCCTGACAGATGATAGAGTTGGGAAAAACACAAAAAGGACCAACAAAAGAAAGCAGACAGCATTAAAAGACTGGACAGGTTTTCTTTTAGGATACAGGATATAACAGAAATAATATGCAATATAAAAATATATGTATGTATGTAAAAAATATATGTACATTGTTTATAATATATATATACATTTAAAGTTGTAATCTATATGCATAACAGGGGCCAACAGGCATAAGGGCACTGACATGTTTGATTGTACACACAAACATGCACACACAATAACTGCCGAAACTGAACACACATAAAGATGTGTATTGCCAACGGCATGATGCAGTTTAATGTTCTCTGAAAGAGCCAAGAGAGACGGAAAAAGGCTTAAACACACACACAGAGCGCAGAGCTGGGACTGATGGCTCACGTCAAATCAAATAAGCTGAGCTGTTCTAATATACTGCAGCATTCAGCATAATTCTAGCAGAGACCCATAAAGAGAGAGAGAACACAATCGTTTAACCAGAATGTCTATCCTGACAAGTACCAGCCTGGAAATAAACAATCCACTGATTTCTCCTGATATGAGAGTGGTGCGATTGCTCTTTCCTCCTCTTCTTTGTTCCGTTTAATATATTCACTCCTGTTGGTTTACACGCTCAGCAACACTCTATCCGATGACCTTTTTCCTCTGTTTTCAATCATCGTGTGTCTAAAGCCACACTCCTGTGGGGCATCGCTGGGTCGTGAGTGGCTTACTAACATGCAGTTCATGTCATGGCCACTCGGTGGTGATATACACACAGAATTCTGATCTGGATCTTTCCGTAACTAAGACGTACTTGCATGCACTACAATTAAACACAAATTTAGAGCCTCACTATCGGTCACATTCAACTACACTCCACCGAAGCAGGATTTCTTTATAGGATGCTAAATGGCTAGACTGTTGTTGAAGGGAACTATACGTGAGAAACAGAGGAGAGAGGAAGGGAGAGCGAGAAAGGAGGGGGAAAGGGAATTGGTGGGTCGGGGTCATTGTCATTGCCCTATAGTGCGACAGGGAAAATGACAGAAAATTGCTGGCACAAGCATATCACGACACCACATACGCAAACTAAACAAGACTTTTCCTGTAGCAAAGTTCTTCATGGGTAGCCACGGACAAACAGCCCGAGCAGAGGGCACAGTCACAGTCACCACCACACACATGCAAGTAGGGCTTGCATTTTGGGGAAAAAAAGGAAACCATGAAAAAACAAACAAACAAACAAAAAACTTACTGCAATATTTAGTTTTTCTAAAATATATTGCTATTTAACAAATACAAATTCTAGTACTCATTTTAATCTAGAGTAAGGGTGATTTTGTTGGGAGCAAATCTGCATTTTTTTTTTCTTTTGAAATTGTAAAAAAATGTTGAAGTATATGTTAAAAGAAAATAGTACGTCAGACTTTCTACTTCAGTCTAATTTCATGTTTCATTCAATGTGTTTCTTACCATTTTGTTGACATTTTTTTGTGAAATTTACTAGGAATTTCTGAGTCAAAATAGTTTCAAAGTAAATCCTGCATCAATTTTTTTGTAAAGTTGAAAAAAAATACCTCTCTACTTGAGTTTTCATTTCAAAAATATTAAACAAAATATTAAATATATTGTTACAACGCTATTGTACTCTAAAATAAAATAAAGGATAAAATACAGTTTATTTTACAGTAAAATTAGAACACTAAAATTTACATCCTAATTTCTGTTTTTTTTTTTTTTTTTTTTTATAAAATATGTACCATTGGTTTCAGGGTGTAGCTCTGCACTTTGTTATAGTATACATTTATTTAGTATAATAGTTTACATTTATTTAATTATCAGAGTCTGCACGATTTTTGTGAGGAGACGGGTGCTACCCATTAATATCAGCACCAGTTCTTGTATCGTAAATCTGACTGTGAGGGAATCTGGGGAAATCTGAGTCTCTCTGCAAAGCGTCATTTGAAATTTATGAACAATTTCCTCAGTCACAAAAGCAAACACCTGGAGGGAAGCAGTGCAGCGGAGTCACAACTCGCAAAAAAAC